TTATTAATTTGATGGCTCCAACATTCTAACCAATCCTTTTTTTTTAAAACAAAGTTAGTCAGCCTAAGCAGAAGTTATTATTATTAATTTGATGGCTCCAACATTCTAACCAATCCTTTTTTTTAAAACAAAGTTAGTCAGCCTAAGCAGAAGTTATTATTATTAATTTGATGGCTCCAACATTCTAACCAATCCTTTTTTTTAAAACAAAGTTAGTCAGCTTAAGAATTCCAAGCCATAAAAGTTAGGAAGGATTTGAGTCATTTTTAAAATATAAGTCCATTTACCAATTTCGTTACTTACAGAGTGTAATATTTTAAATGTTTCACTTTAAATACCAAAAGAAGACAAAGTATTAAAAACCAATAGGCTTAAAATTTGTGATAAAAATTACGTAAGCTACAGTCCTTTTTTTCATATTAAATGGAAAATGGGTTTTAAAAAAGAAATACGTGCAATTTACGTGATTTTTATCACACATTTTATGATAAACAACGAACTCTCGTTTTCTCTAGCAAAACACCAAGATTTTTATATTGTACCATTTAGGGCAGTTCAAAGCTATTTTAATTTCTTAATATGCTAATAAGCTTAATAAAAACACCAATAATCCTATCTTGTTTTTTTCTCTCGTTTTTTTTTCATAAAAGGCCATTAGATAAAATTTCTTATAAGTAAAAAAAACAACAACATTTGATTTGAACATTTTGGACAGTTAGGATAACGATTAGATCTAAAAATTCTCGTTTTAACACTTCCGGCCTACACATTTCTTTTCGATGTAACGGCTAACGATTAAAATTTTGTTGTACTTATTTTACACGCTCTCGTTCTCAGCGTTGTTAACAGAGGCGCCCGTGTACAGTTACATTTGTCTCATTCCAAGTTTGATGAATGAGTTCTCCCAGTGGGTTAACTCTCGCTGTCGCCCACTATCACAGTTATTAGCATCTGATAACTATTTCTCACGAGTCCTTCCTACACATAAGTTACTGTGTTTTAAAAAATATGACATATTTATGGACGTAGCAGTAACTTTAACCATGTTTCTCTGTCAAAATTGAAGACATAATTAAAGCCTATTGACTGTTTTGAGTAGTTCTTTAATTACACTTTCCCGTGAAAGAAATCTTGGAAACACTACGGTACTACAAGCGTGAAGAGTGTAATTCTGTTCCCAAAATTTTACTACGCAAGCGTAACATGTAATATTTTGTAATTACTTTACTACCTTTATATCTATTACAACAATTAATTTACGACGTAAATGTAACGCAGAATTTATAAGATTGTTATTGTTTTTTAATAATTAAAATATGATTAGACTTATTTTATAATATCGATAATGCCTTTAATAGCACTCGAACAATTAAGTAATAAACCCAACAATTATAATGTTGGAAAACATCCCGATTCTTATTGGTTGAAGTAACGTAAGAATTAATTTGAATATCCTGTAGATACAAACTTGAATAACATCCACATAGAATATTTTAAAATTATCATTTTAATTTATATATCGTTTAGTAACTCAAAAAAAAAATGTTTGCTAAGTTGTTGTTGTTTTTTTAATTGACGAATACAGTACAATGAAAGCAGTATAAAGTTATTAAAAGCTGTGGTTGTCTTTACTGTCGTACACACCTTAGTTGCTTGTATGTTTGTTTCAGGGCAAAGCCACACAATAGGTTATCTGTGATCTGTATACTGTAAGCAATTGAACTCCGAATTTTACCGTTGTAAGTCCGTAAATAAAATGCACGTTCTTTATTCGCCCGTATTTAATGTTACGTGTGATACTCATGTGTATACATTCAAGAACATTCTGTTGTGACTAATTAGCAAAATGCTGTTGACTTGAGCAAAACAAATCATTATTTAACAGTCACCGTCCCAAGCAGGTTAACAGTCAGTCTTTATATTAACATAAAATTTGTGGTTAATCAAACATACCTAATAAACACGGTAATAAATAAACAACAGTAACACTAACAGTTCGATCAGAAATTTAATGCGGATCTTCAAC